TCTACATCTGTAAGAGACGGGAACAAAACATTCTTTGCAAGGACGTAAAAACCTTTCCTTAGTAGACGTGAATTTAAACTGTGAGATTGACGTCGAGACGTAGCAGGCTAAAGTGGACAATATCTATTAATTGTGGCCTCAAACAGTTACAAATAATATTAAAGCCAGATATCGGATAGTGTGTCAGCAAGGACGTTAGGTCCCCACGAAGGGTGGATTGTGAGATCTCATATCAATTGGAGAGTAGAACGAAGCATTCATTATATAATAAGGATGTGGAAACCTTTCTCTTGTAGACGCATATTAAAATTGTGAGGCTAACGGCGATACATAACGAGTTAAAGCAAACAATATATACTACCAATAGCCTCGAATTCTAATGGTTAACAATTTCTATCCAAAATTAACCATAGGGTTTAAATTTTTTTTTTTTTTTTGAAAGTATTTTTATTAATTTATCCTTAAAAAAAATTGTTAATTTAAATTGAAATTAATTTGAACATTATAGAAAATAAATTAAATAAAGTTCAACCCATTAAAATTAAATTTATAATTTAATTATTTTTTATTTATGCACCTAAAGTTGAAAAAATCACAAAGAGTAATATGTGGGGAAAGGATATCTTTAATTCATTCATATCCTAATAAAGAAAGATTTTTGTATTTAAATTATGAATGTAAATAATAATGGATTAAATATAGCGTTAATTACGATTAATTATTATAAATAAGCATTAATTACTCTCATAAAAAGCCACTGATCATGCCCACTTTACCCCTAATTTTATGTGGTCGGCTGAGATTGGTTGTACGGCGGACGCCCACCGCCACCGCTAATCTTTCCTTTCAGCCCCTCCCATTAAAATAATTGCAATTTGGTACATTTTATTTTTGCCGACACTTGGATGTAGGCCTGGTTGTGGGCCTTATTGGGCCGTTGCCTAAATGCTGACCTCGAGCTCAATGGGCCTGGTCCAACCTATTTCGACCCAATGCCCCAAGGATACTATGTGGGGATAGTACTCGCATACAACTTTCAATAAATAGACATTTTAATTATTATTTTTTTATTACAATAATGGCCCCTTAAACAGTTGTATTATAATTTCTATATTTATTAATGTAAAATATTAATTTATTGATAAAGTAAAATAGTTATTAATCTCACCAAACTTTTTTTTTTTATTATTATTTTTTTTTTTTTTTGTAAATATTAGGAGCATGGTTGGGTGTGAACATGGGAGTGAGAGTAACATGTGTGCAACAAGCAACGAGCGAGATCGAGAGACATGCGATGTGGTGGCTGCAAGCGAGAGTGAGAGTAGAGTGGCGAGTGAGTAGCATGGTGCATGCGGCTGCAAGAGAGTGCTATGTGATGGTTGCGACCAAGAACGAGAGTGGTGCAAATGCATGGGAGCGCGATTGGTGTGGTCATCGATAAAACAAGTTGCACATCAGTATGATGCTTACCACACCAGCTTCGACTCGGTGCCCCAAAGTTTAGGGTTTAAGGAATACTATACCCTCTTTAGGTTAAATAAATATACTTACCCACGAATCCTTTAGAGTTTTCTCCTATTTTGTGTAAATTAGATTAGAAATAAGTCAAACCAAATCGGACAGTGATCTCACAGATCGTGGAGTGTGTCGTTCACACATTCGAGGAGGGAACTTGGACCTTGGCCCAATTTCTCTCTAGTCCATTATGTGCAAAATTTCATTATTTCTTTTGTTGTTGGTTTTATACTCCAATATAAAATCAGCCCATTTTTCCTATCTAAGATTTGTGATTTGACTTATTATTTTAAGTTACATGTTCGGAGCCGAATTTGCTGAGTATTGCCAAGATCAAATTTATTCCTTGTGAGCTTCTTTATGTTTTATTGCTCCAAAGTAAGTATTGGATTATTTTTATGATCGTCCGTCAAATCGTATAGGACTTGTTGGATGATGAAAGTCCCACATCTGCTAATTTAGGAAATGATCATGGGTTTATAAGTGAGGAATACTAACTCCATTGGTATGAGGCTTTTTGGGGAAGTCCAAAACAAAGCCATGAGTCATGCCCTAAACTTAGTCAACTTAGTCGTGCACTAATATCATACTATTGTGGAGAGGACTGACTCTAGGTTTTCATCGTGTTTTGCATTCAGGTAGAACTATAGCTTTTTTTAAGCTTAAGTGTTCCGAGACAAATCTTGGGTTATTCTTAAGATCGATTGAGGAACTCCGTTAAGATGTTTCTAGGTTTTTATCAATTTCGAGATAATTTGGTAACTTGTGGCATTCCACTTTTGTGTTTTCCATGTGGCTTTCAACATGTTAAGAATGGATGACAACCTACTCAACACACTTGGTAAGCTGAAAAGAGGGGAAGGAGTGTGTCAAGTATATGCCAGACACAACAGCACGCGCCCACAACGGTGCACATGGCTACTCAAAGATAGCCTCCGCAAAGCAATGAAGAGGCATTCCTTATACTTCTACCTCCCATGCTAGCTACACAATTGCACACTTGCATCGCCTCTACCTCGACTTCGACACGTCATTTTATTATAAATTTTTATTTTATCATAGTCCTTCTTTGGTTTCTTAGATGAGGAATTACCATGTTTTCGGCTCAACTCGTGTTAGGACTCTTTGACACTATTTGTATCAGTATATTTCATTGTTTATACCATGATTCTCTCACAACTTTACTATTTGATTTCCACTGAGGATCAACTAGTAATGAGGCTAAAGAGTTCTTTTCTCATATTTTCTATCCTTGATGTTCTCTATTTTAATCGTCTCATAATTGATTTATACCAATATGCAAGTTTTACAATCAAGCTTTCTTCTTCATAATCTGTACCAACTATTGTCAAAATCTAGACGTAAGAAAAACTCACCTAATCTTTATTGACAACAATGATAAATTTGTTTGGTGAGGTGAGTGCATGACCTGCAAAATAATAAGAAACTACATATTAGTGCGGTAGCACCACCTCTACTGCTTAAGTTAGCTCGGATGCCATGAGAATTGGGTTGTAGCAAGGTTTAGAGTACGAAGAAATGTACGTATTTTCATTTTCTTTATAAATTAGGCTAGAAGCGAGCTAAACTGAACCTAAAATAATGTACATAAAATTAAGATCGATAAATTTGTGATAGAAATGATTTATATTGATTCACTTTATGAAAAATTAAAATCTCAGCTAATATGATTATTAGTTTTGAGTCGTAAGTAACACAACTCATAGTTGAGTAGCATAAATGATTTTTTCTCTTAAAATTGTTGGATGAAAGTCCCACACTGCTAATTTAGGGAATAATCATGGGTTTATAATCAAAGAATACTATTTTCATGAGTATGAGGTCTTTTAGGAAGTCCAAACCAAAGTTATGTCAATAGAATCCTCAATTGGAGAGTCATGCTTCGATTGGGGAGATGTACTTTGTTCGAAGGACAATTTATCCCGATGAAGAAGTCCACAATTACAAACGAAGAAATATAACTAACGTAGAAGGGATATATATATATAATAATGTATGAGATCAGTGACCCAGTACAATTTGGGTAAGATTTGAGTGAATTAATGCTTCCGAAAATGTAAATAAGTACAGACTCTGAGATGAACTTAAAGCCATTTGGACCCACTCAGCATAAAGCTCTAATGTGCTGCACCGTGAGCTATCCCTCTAGCCAGTACAAATGGGTCCAATTTTATATCTCTTTTTCTTCATTATTGCTGTTCTTAGGGTTTCCATCAAACTCTTTTTCATTTTAAATACACATTCAACTCATTATTGTGGTATTATTAACCCATGTTTGATACCTATTTTTATGAACATAACTATATTTTGAATCCATTCAGCCTCATATATGGTTTGATTAAACCTCGTAAATAGTTTTTAGTATCGTTTTTTTTTTTTACTATTATAAACTCGAAAGATCATCTTAGAATTAGAACTAGGGTTCTAGGGTTCACTCCACAATTGACACAGTACAGAAAATGAACAGAAAGAACCATTCCCTAGAGCAGCTTCATTTTAAATTACTGTCATAAATAAAGATAGATAAAGATAGAGATGGGATACAAAATGGGTCCAATTCATGCATCTCATTTATATTATATATAATATCTCTACTTCCCCTCATTAGGGTAACATTTCAAGCCTATTGATATCAGATATTGTCTATCTCTAGGATTTTCTTTTCGAGCGGTTTCTCAAGGTTTTTAAAATGCATAGACTAGGAAGAGGTTTCCACACCCTTATAAAAAAATGTTTCATTTCCCTCTCCAATTGATGTGGGATCTCACCATCCACCCCCTTCGAGACCCAGAGCGTCTTCACTGTCACTCATTCCCTTCTCCAATCAATGTGAGACTCCCCAATCCAACCCCTTTGGGATCCAGCGTCCTTGCTGGTACACCACCTCGTGTCCACCTCCCTTCAGAGCTTAGCCTCCTCACTGGCACATCGCTCGATGTTTGACTCTGATACCATTTATAACTACCCAAACCCACTTGCATAGATTGTCCTCTTTAGAATTTTCCTTTCGAGCTTCCCCTCAAGGTTTTTAAAACGGCTAGGAGAGGTTTCCACACTCTTATAAAAAAATGCTTCGTTCCCTTGTTCCCCCTCTCCAACCGATGTGGGATCTCACAACTACTCTCCCCCAAATTTTCACTCTAAAAACCACCAAATCTTTGAAAAACTCGTCGAGCTATGCACACGTTGACCCACTATGTTCGAGTTGAACTACTCCAAACTTGTTTGGAAGACAAATTTTGCAAAGATTAATAAGTGAGTGGGGGATAGGTCTCTAAGATATATTTTAAAGTAATTGTGTACTCCAACTTGGCTGCTCAAGGTCTGTGGAGAACATTATTGGTTCAAAAACCTTACTATTATAAAAGAAAAGGGGAAAAAGATGATTTTTTTAGCAACCCCATTTGCCCTTATTGTTTATAGATAAATGTTTATGGCTAAAGATGGGAAAAATGACTCAAAAAATGGAGTTTGTGGTCCTTTGCCTCTGGTAGTAATATTAATACTCCTAATCTTCTCTCTTCTTTTCTTGCCAACACCAACCAATTCTTTCTCTTCTTACTCTCTGTGCCTCTGCCTTTCTCTTTTGAAATGGCCACCGGAAAAGCCGATGGAAAACGGAGACTAAATTACTACGACACGGAGGAGGACGAGGAGGAAGAGGAAGAGGAGGACGAGGAGGAAGACGGTGATGGAGAATTAGGGTTTGGTGAGGATTTCAATAAGAAGAAAAAAATTGTGGGTGGTGGTGGTTCTAATAAAGGATCAGGATCTGGGTATGGTGGAGCTGCGGCGGCGGCGGTAGCGGTAGCACCGTCGTGTCAAGCGGATAATTGTAGTGCTGATCTGTCGGGTTCGAAGCGCTACCATCGCCGCCATAAGGTCTGTGAGTTTCATGCCAAAGCTCCGGCGGTTGTGGTTGCCGGAATCCACCAACGGTTCTGCCAACAATGCAGCAGGTAGTTTTGGATCAAAACCCTAATCTTAGATCTGCTTCTAATTCTATGGTTTAAGCCATTTTTTAAGCTAACATGAAAATAAATTAATCATATGAGGAAATAACATGATTAATTTTCTTCTATCTCTATGATGAAATTGAGGATTTAAGATTAATAATGTCATATATCTGACAAAGTTAGGGATAATAATAGATAGTTAGGAACGACATACGAATAATAGATGGATATAGTCTACTTTGAACACATGATTTTTCTTTCAGTTTCATTGAAAAAATTATGATACTAATGGGACGTTGTCCTTCAATATGCTCTTATCGAGCTTAATTCTTCCTTTAGGAACATCCTGTCTTTCTTTCTGATAAAACTCAATTACGGCACTATGACTACCGTCGCATCAAGCTTATCACTTTAACTTGTCACTCAGAATTACGCACCAACATAGCTTAGTCTAAGGCATGAGTCAGATACTAATTGACGGGAACAACAAATCCAATGCAACTCTTACTAATATAGAGCTCCAGTCGTAGTCCCTTGCTTTCCATCTAAGGACTTTGATAATTGAGTATTAGACAAAATTGTATGTAGGATTTGATAAATTTAAGATTTTATGAGGTACATTTAGGTTTTAATGGTGTTTAAAGCCATATTAGTTGTGAATTGTTCTAGTATCAAACATTTGGTCACGTTAAGCTACGATTATATTATGGATAACTAAAGATACATCATTTGTATTCCTCTATGAAATGGAGATTTCATGGGCTTATGGAGTTTGATCTAACAAAAAGAAGCTGTCGGAAGCGGTTGGCCGGACATAACCAGCGGCGGCGGAAGAGCTCATCGGACGTCCATGGCGAAAGCTGAAGCTAGGTAGCAATGACCAGAATGATGAACATTGATGTAGTTTATAGGGTCTTCCTTCCCCAAGCAATTTTTTCTTGGTTTTGTTGTTGGTCAATGCTTCCATTATTTTCACCTCTGCTTGCTCTCTCTCTTCTGTCAATCCCCAGCTTTTGGCTTTGTACTGGAAGACCAATTTATTGCTTTTGTAGGGAAGGCAGTCTTATTTTTCTTCAACAATTGCATTCATAACCATTTGGAATAATTATGAGCTGCACCTTTGTTTTGTTTCTATTCTCCCCCTTTGGTCTTCGTGTTACTAAGCTGCACCTTTGTTTTGTTACTATTCTCCCCCTTTGTTCTTCGTGTTCATAAGACGAGGCATCTAAGGTGATAGCAGTTTTTCGTGTTCATAAGACAAGGCATCTCTAAGATGATAGCAGTTCTTCGCGTTCACAAGACGAGGCATCTCTAAGATGATAGCAGTTCTTCGCGTTCACAAGACGAGGCATCTAAGATGATAGCAGTTGTTAGTGTTCATAAGACATGATAGCAGTTCAAAATACCAATTCCCATGTCCATTAGGTTGCCATGGAACATTTGAAGTAGTGTGCAATCATGAATGCATGTAATAGCAAACGTCACATTTCTTAATTCTGCTAATATGGTCATTAAGCAAAGAATACCAACGAGAAATGATTGAATAGCTTACCTCTAATATGGTCATTAAGCAAAGGATACCAACGAAAAATGATTGAATAGCTTACCGCTAGCAGATATTGTACTCTTTGGATAACCAGGCTTCCCCTCAAGATTTCCATACCAATGGTTTCGTTCTCTTTCCCAATTGATGTGGAATCTTACAATCTACTCCCCTTTGAGGCTTAGGGTTCTCACTGGTACAACTCCCGGTGTCTAGCTATTAAACCATTTGTAACACGCTCCTCTCTCCAATTGAGGTGGGATCTCACAATCCACCCCACCCCCTTGGAGGCCCAGCGTCGTTGCTGGCACACTATCCAGTGTCTAGCTCTCATACTATTTGTAACACATTCTCCTCTCCAATTGATGTGAGATCTCCACTCCCTTGGAGGCCAGCATCCACATTTCTTATAAAAGTGTGAAAAACTCTCCCTAATAGATGCGTTTAAATAGACTTCTCCCATTAGCGGTGGGCTTAGGCTGTTACAAATGGTAACAGAGGAGGTACCGAGCAAGGTGCAAACCTCATTCTTATATAACATTAGGCATTTATTAGGAAAAAGTTTTCGAGGTTTTCACAAGGTTACCTTCCATATCATCAACTCACTCATAAATAGGGTGATAAAAGCAATACAGGACACCACTTTTGAAGGATAACCAGGTAGACGTAGTTGGACGATGAAGATGACAAGCATTCAATTCACATCCACTGCATTAAGTTTAGTAAATTCTCAATAGCACAAGTTGAATGATCACACATCCAATTAACCAATCTAACCTTATCTTACACCATCAGTCTTCAGTATCCTATCAGTAACCTACCAGAAGAACTTGCTTAATTGCTGTTCAAATGGAAGTCACTTCCCACAAATGATCACAAACTAATAAACTAGCATGAATGCAATAGTACAGACAAGACAGCATGATATATGGTCATTATTGCTCCACATAACAAATAGTACACTAAGAAAGAAAAAGTACATTTCAGTCCATAGGATTAACCTTCAGCTCGAAGTAATTGAGGTTACCTTCACGCTGTCAAAAGGGTGACCGGTAATGACAGTGGCGACGCCGGCAATCAGACCCCATCTTCTTAAACCAGGAAAACAAATCCAGTGGAGACAGGGTGGACTCGATAGCTCAGAGGATTAGGGTACATGACTACGAACCACGGCGTCATGGGTTCGAAGGCAAATGGCTCTAAAGAGGAAAGGTTCTTTTTTTAGGGTATTCTTCGAAACAGATCCAATGGAGACAGGGTGGACTCGGTAGCTCAGAGGATTAGAGCACGTGACTACGAACCACGGTGTCAGGGGTTCGAATCCCTCACTAAATAACTAACGGTATGAACGAGGTAATACAAAGTGTTAACTATTGAGTCAAGCTAGATTGTCCCACTAGCACTTCTACATAAACTCTACCTGTTACTAAAATAGCTTATGATACACCTCATAAGATACACACGTCATACTTGCCAACTAAATAAATCAAATAAATGTCACTAGGAGTTGCATGAGGCAAGAAGGAGCTTGACTTCGTCCAAGACCCATCTGTCGAAAATCCGGCTTAGTGATCTGACGGTGCTAAGTGAAAGGGTTGTCGCTCAACCGATAATAAAAAAAGCATGTAGTTAGAATGAGCGAGGTATGTTATTAATTTTAAAAAAAAAATACCAAAATTTTGTGATTATGAGGAAATGCCACCATGAATGAGTTAACATGGCAAAGGCAAAACTTACAAAGGAGAGTTTGGGGCAACTCACTCTCTCTCACAGGAAGGGTTGCTACAAATTATAAAACAGAACATAAATTTCAGCCGGAAAGGTGGCGACGACAGTCACCGGAGCTTCAACGGTGCTGGCTCCTGGTACCTTTACTATAAAGCCTGTGAAAAAAATGAACCCCATTTCATTTCAGAGAAGTGGGGGGGAAAGAATGATGAGTATTGATTGATTGATTGATTGATTTACCAGTCATAAACGGTGGGGGAGTTGGGCTGAGGCTTGTCGAACACATCGGAGCCGATGGACTTGGTGGCCAGATTGCTACCTGGGTTGAACACACTCCTCCACACATTGTCCGACGCCCGCGGCGACGCCGGCGACATTGGCGTCTCTGGGCTCGCCGGCATCGACAGCGATCTCTGATACTTTCGCCCTTCTCCCTCTGTATCTACACCCCAAAAACAGAGCATCAAAATTGAAATCAGGTAGTCCCCTGTTTTTCCTCTGTTTTTAGTGATAATCAGAAAAAGTTACCGGTGATGCTGGTTGCGATTCTCCTTAGCCTTCCAAGGCCGCGATCGGGCTGAGGGCCAGCCAAGACATCATCCCAAAGCTTCTCCAGCATATTTCTCTGTTTTTGTTTTAGAAGATTTAGATTTTTGAAGTGTTTCAGCTTCCCCTGCTTTTGGTTATATTTATATATATAAATCTCTTCCTTACAGGCATGCGGATAAAAGAAGGCGAGGAGGAAGACTCGGTCTAACAGGCTTTCAGAGATGCAATACGAAATGGGCTTTGTCCGATTCTTCGGATTACACTACATTTTCCTAAAATATCCTTACTATACTTTCCTTAAAATAAGAATGAACAACAGATCCCATCCAAAATATAGAATTGGATTGAAATTGATAGCATTTAAACATAGCGGATCATACTAATGGAGATAATATTCACTTATAAACTCATGATCTTTCAATAAATTAATCAATGTGGGACTCACTCCCAATAATCTTCAACTACATTCATTTATCTCTCACAATCCTTTTTCACTCAAAACTGTAAAATGAACCCTCAACTTTCTGCTTCATTTTTCCAATGGTGTTCCAATGATTCCAAAGCCATTACAATTTTAATACAGTCCGTCTACTCCTCGTTTGTACAACTTCACAAAACTCCTATGCTCCTAAATCCCAAAAATATTCGTTGGAATCTCGAATTTTCATGGACAAATTCTTTCTGTTTCTTTCTCAAATCACTCTCTCAATTGGGTATGTAAACTACTGAATGGAGAGACTGGATATCGAGTAGTGTGTCAACGAAGACTTGGGTATGTAAACTACTGAATGGAGAGACTAGATATGTGTGTTAAAATGAGGACACTAGGCCTCAAAGGGGTGGATTGTGAGATCTCACATTGATTAGAGAAAGGAAATGAAGTCTTCATTATAAATGTGTGGAAATCTCTCCTAGAAGAGTCTTTTTAAAACCCTGAGGGAAGCGCAACACAAAAAGTCCAAAAAGTACTATAATTACTAAACGATGAATTTTGGCTATTACAAAAAAAAACAATATCTGCCCTTGTGGACTTAGACGGTTACAGAAATAGAATAAGGTATTTTTGAAACATTTATAAAAAGATTAAAATGAAGAAAAAGTCAAGTCTAGTTTAATGTTAGAAGATCTGTAACATGAGTATATACATGTCATTTCTGTTGTTTTTCACAGAATTTAACTGAATTCTGACTACGTTCAGTTTGTTTTATTTTTTTGAACAAATGTCCTATTTAAAATAAAAATCATTCTAAAAATGGCTGGAGAGTGGCCAACTAAATTTGTGCCTTCCTCCAAAATTTCAGTCTAAAATTCTGTTGATCCATTCGAAGTGTTTTGTCAAATGGTCAAACTGGCGATTTTCTGAAATCGTGTGAATAAGAAAAAACGGTAAAACTCAGGTTTTATCTAACAATCTCCTCCTAAAACCTGTAGTATATCTACCTTACTATGTGAACTCCGATCTTTGAGCGTAGTTCTTCAAATTTCACCCGCGCCAGGGACTTGGTGAAGATGTCTCCAAGTTGTTCATCTGTTCGGATGTAATCAATTTTGATGAGCCATCGATCTGCACATTCTCGAATGTAGTGGAATCTGATTTCTATGTGCTTGCTTCGTTCATGCAAAACTGGATTTTTGATCAGGGAGATCGTAGCTTTGTTGTCTACGTATAGCATTGGTGGATCACTTTCTCTCCCGATGAGTTCTTCCATTAGTCGCGCAAGCCAGATCCCTTGTGTTGCTGCCATCGAAGCGGCGATGTATTCTGCTTCACAGGAAGACAAAGCAACTACCTTCTGTTTTGTTGATTGCCAACAGATTGCGCCGCCTGAGAGAAAATAGATCATTCCGCTAGTGCTCTTACGATCATCAACGTCACTGGCCATGTCACTATCACTGTAGCCAACTAGCTTGAGTTTCTTCTTTCCGCTCCCTGCGCAGTATCTTACACCCCAGCCTCTGGTTCCGGCTACATAGCGCAGGATGCGCTTGACAGCCACTAAATGCTCCTCCCTAGGTGCTTCCATAAACCGGCTCACATATTCAACAGAATAAGCAAGATCAGGACGAGAGTTTACCAGATAGCGCAGACTCCCGACAATGTTGCGGTAATTGGTGGAGTCGACTGTCGTCGTAGTGCCAGCCTTCCTTAGTTGGAGTCGGGCCTCCATTGGCGTCCTTGTAGGATTACTGTCCACAAGTCCAGTTGTGTCCAGCAGCTTCTTTGCGTATGCACTTTGGCAGATGGAGATGCCGGTAGAATTCTGTTGCACTTCGATGCCGAGATAGTAGCTGAGCATGCCGAGATCGCTCATCT